TTATGTGTTTTTTGATGGAACCCTTCTGCCTTTTCTTACTTTGTATTTTGGTTTAGAGGTAAATAGTATTAGTGCCTGGTCACATCACATCTAATGAATGGGAATGTCAGTGTTTTAACATGTGGGATTTGCTGCAGTGCGATTTCTAAAGTAGTTCTTGCATTACTTTTTCTGCAGTTTTGTTGTGATTTCACATACATAGAATATAATGGAAATCGCACTGCAAATTGCAAGAAATCGTTGAAAATCTTTACAAGTAGCAAAAAAGTCTTCATAAATTGCACACAAATCACGTGATTTTAAATCGCTGCGGTGTGACTGGTGACTTCAGGTAGGCGTGCTTATGAAGTTTACAAATTACAGTGGCCATCTCTAATCTAGAAAAATCACCTTTTCATTTTAACTGTACGAACTGAGGGACTTACAGTGGGATGGGTCTACATGAAAAGATATGATCATGTTCCTGTCCCCTATTATTTTCAATTATCCTGTTAAACCTACTTTGGTACCTGGTTTATTTAGCTCTGTATAACGATGTGCTTTTATTTGTAGACCATTCTCTACTGTATTGTTATTTTTTTTAAAAATTTGAAAATAAAAAAAAAAAAAAAGGTTTTTTCATTTTGGCAAACTTAATTAAAGTACACAGTTCAGTATATATTTTTTTTGAGTACTGCACTTTTAAAATTCTTCATAGAATTTCTCCAGTTATAACATACACATATATATATATATATATATATATATATATATATATATATAGCTCTTTGTTTCTCCAGTTTCCCCACTGATGCTATTGCACATCTCTATTTGTTGTGGTTACCATTGTCACCAGGACAGAAAGTGGCAAATACCACATTTTACCACTATCACTGGGACAGGAAGTGAGAGAGAATCTTCCAAAGGGGACTGTTTTTCTTACATTATTAAAAGCTATTTCCCCACACTTTAAGATTTTCTGTTCCATTATGTCTCCTGTAATGTGGGGCAAAAGATGCTTTTATGTTCTGCTCCAAAATGCTGTAGAATAAAAGTCACCGTCAAGACAATGATGCTACATTCATCCAGCCAGAGAAGGATAGCCATATGTAAGCAGGTGAGCGTTTCACCTCCCTGATGAGTCTTCCATAGCAGATCCACCACTGATTCACAAGTGTCACATCGGCCAAAATCCAGAGCTCAGTCACTTCAACAAAATTAAAAAACACAGGTCCATCCATATGTAACCCCTATCACAGCACATATATCAGGTATCCCAGAAAATCATAATAGATTAAGTTTGAATAGGGCACAAAAATATCGTTCAAAAGAGATGTCTCACATTAGCTCTGAGAAAGCCAATAACAGGAGCCAAAACAAACAGAACCTAGCACTCTTTATGTACCATAAAACCTGCTCTACCGTTTCATATGAAAGGTTCATTTTAGACAAACAGAAATTATAATAGCGTGTGTGTGCGTGCGTGCATGTGTACATCCTACCTCACTCTTCATACCCACTGTTCTTTCTCACCTCTTTGTCCACAATGCCTTCTGATTGTCCAAGTCCGTTTCTACTTTTCCTCTCTCTTTAATTCTTCATTCGCCTATACCTACCTACATACCCAACTTTACAAGGAAATGCTTCAATGTCTTTTTGTTCTTTCATATCCAATCAAGTCATCTGTATTTGTATTCCTACACGTCCAACTGTCCTGTCAAACAGGAGCATCATTACCCAATCCTCTGGGCCATTCAATGCAGTAGCATCCTCCTTCACCTCCATGGTACAATCTCGGCACTTCCTGAAGAATGAACCAGCAGCAGTGGTCTTTGTATAGCCTGCTCCCCTTTACTGCTCTTTATATTCCTGCTTCCCTCCTCTGCCCACTGAAACCGATTGCATCCCAGTCATTCCTGCCACCATTTTTATGGTTCTACTCATCTTCATTCCTCCTCTTCTCACAGCGCCTTGTTTTCTTCATCTGCCCATAAACACCGCTACCCTACCCATCATCTCGGACTATGCTATCATCTACATTCCATTATTTATTGCACTTGTGATGATCTTTATCATCGCTCCCTCTGACTATCCTCCAGCTCTGCTTTTCTTTACATACCCCACTGTCTTGTAGGCACTCGCCAGCGCCTTGCTGTTCTCAATGATTCTCCCCTCATCAGTTTTAGGCCAGTTGCACATAAACGTAATAATTTACTAACATTTATACTCAGGATCTCATTGACAGAAAGGTCCTGAGTAAAGCCTCGTACACACTTCTATTTTTTTTTACGTTCAACCCAGCTGGCTAAAACGAAAAAAAAAAACAAACAAAAAACTGACAGCAAAAAGGAGGAACCGCTGTACTAACTAGCCAATGTAAGTAAAGCAATCCCCTCCTCTGTGCTATTGTGTTCTGACAGGGGGGATGCCCCCTCCCCACCAGAACACTCCGGTCAGTGTTCTCAGCCATTGCCAGAGACCACTGATTGACAGACCTTTTTCGACAGAAGCCGGTCCAGCTGCCCTTTCACAGGCCAAATGTCATGGGCCAATGCCACCCGAATTTCGCCCCCGTGTACTAAACTTAAAATGTTCTGTTACCTTGCGTAAACACATGTATGTATAAACATGTATAAAATTCTTCACTGCCAATGTGTACAATAAACACTTATATAGATGCGTAACAGGTATGCTCATAAATTATTGCACTCACATAAAATGCTCTATTTTGTTTTTTACAGCTCTGTACTCATCACTATATTATTGCTCTTTAACCAGCTGTGCCCATTGTTTCAGACAATGAATCTATATTCAGATCAGTAAAGAACATGGTGTTTTTTTTCTCCCGTGTGCAAGAGGCTTAATGCATTTTGCAGAGCTAACTAAAAAACTTACTACACATATCTTGGGTTGCCCACTCTTGGGCCTGGATGACAGGCAATGAATAAGCAAAATATTTATTTTTCAAGTGGAACACAAAACAAAATAAAATCAGACAGGGGCATGTTAGAGAATTGAAAAAGCAGCTCCAGCTTCATTACACCCCCCAGAAACTCTGGCCAGTGCAATTCACCCAACTTCCTGTGAGCCCAGGTTGTTGTGGACACACTCCATTGGGGTGCACAATCCATTGGGATGCACATCAGCCCGTCTCACAGTACAATACTACAAACAGCAACAATGATGATGCAATGTCAATGTTGCTCTGCGCAGTATTGAAGATGGCCCTCCATTGCCACATGAAGAAGAAAAACAAGACACAGACTGCTTGATTGGGGGATGATTTACACAAGCCCACGCACGATATGCACCTTATAACACAATCATCCTGGTGTGCGATATAATAGGGCAAAACGGCGCATTGTTACAATGCATAACACGATTTACTCTTTTTTTTTTTTTTAATTTATTGAAAGGTCTTAAAAACTTATTGAAATGCAGTGACGCCCAAAACTAAGTCCTCATGCACAGTGGACATTTTTACATCTGCTGTTTTTGGCTTTGGCATTTTTTTCTACAGCCAGTAAACTCCCCAGCAACTTCCCTTCATGCACACATAGGCTTTAATCATATAATAAATAATTTTTTGGTAGGGGCATTTTTTGGCTGGAAAAAACCCCAGAACTAGTGGGTTTCTATAAGTTTTTTTTAGCTGGAAAACTGTTCTAACGCTGGTAAACATGGAAAAACGTGGAAAATCTGCGTTTTCTTGAGCAAAAATTGTATTTATTTTTTGTGTAAAACAAGCTAAAATGCACACACGGAAAAACGCAGCTAAACGCGAATGCAAAAATGCTAAAAAACACAGAAAATTTTTTTACACAGCTAACGTGTTATTAAAGTGCGTGCATGCAGCCTTAAAAATGCCAACATGTTATCCTCCCTTTCAAACATTATGTCAACACTTTAAACTTCCAACCTATGAAACCTTCATTTTATGAAAATTAAACATTGTTTTTTCTTTCTAGCACACCCTCCCGTTCATCAATGGATCAGCTCACTGCATCTGAGCAAGTGTGACAGCTCCAGGTCTTCCCCCCCCAATACCTTTTGATGCTTTCTAAATGTTTCCCACATGCCCCACCTTATATTAGCAAGTGGGTGGCTGACCTCAGTGTCACTATAAAACCCAAAAAATGGGCCAAAATGTGGTTGGCCACAAAATCATGGTCAAAGAATGTCGCTGCGTTGGATACATCCTACAAGATTCTCTCATGCTGGTATCTGGCTTCTGCATGAATCTCTAAATTTGTTTCAAATTACCCTTCTGAGTTCTTTCGGGGCTACAGAGAATCAAGAATCCATATGCATGTTTGGTGGACACGTCCAATAGTCTACAAGTTCTGGACTGAGATTTTTTTTTTTTTGTTTTTTAAACTCCTCTCTAACGTGCTTAACAGGACGATCACCCTAGACCCTGCAATAGCTACTCTTAAACATGCGCCCTTAAGACATTACCACAGAGCAATTCAAACTTCTACAAATTATAAATGTGGCAAAGCAAAAAGTAGCCGCTGCTTGGAAAACCCCACATCTTAGTTTCATTGAAGAAAAAACTGGGTCACCTGCGCTATGATCCATGGCAAAATTGAATCTACACTGCAAGATAGCGACCCTAAATACAATAAGATATGGCAGCCTTGAATAGACAATTTCTTCTACCAGGACTGGTCCTACACTCCTTGAACCCAAAAGTACCAGCTATGACGTCTTTTGCCCTGAGCTGCTATTATTTCTATGCCAGATTCATCAGGAATCCCTCTACCCCTCCTAATCCCCGCTTAACCCTATATTCGACTCTTCCCACCCTCCCAATCTTTTCAAAATGTCTTGAAATGGATGGAAATGTATTAATACACTGTCAAGATAAAGTGGTCCTAAAGACAGAAGGTTTTTTTTACAGTAAAGAATTACCGTATTTTTCGCTCCATAAGACGCACCTGACCATAAGACGCACCTAGGTTTTAGAGGCAGAAAACAGGGAAAAAAAATTCTGAACTAATGGACTGCAGACACAGTACAGGAGATGACCAGAGACTGCGGACACAGTACAGGAGATGACCAGAGACTGCGGACACAGTACAGGGGATGACCAGAGACTGCGGACACAGTACAGGGGATGACCAGAGACTGCGGACACAGTACAGGGGATGACCAGAGACTGCGGACACAGTACAGGGGATGACCAGAGACTGCGGACACAGTACAGGGGATGACCAGAGACTGCGGACACAGTACAGGGGATGACCAGAGACTGCGGACACAGTACAGGGGATGACCAGAGACTGCGGACACAGTACAGGGGATGACCAGAGACTGCGGACACAGTACAGGGGATGACCAGAGACTGCGGACACAGTACAGGGGATGACCAGAGACTGCGGACACAGTACAGGGGATGACCAGAGACTGCGGACAGCACAGGGATGACCAGAGACTGCGGACAGCACAGGGATGACCAGAGACTGCGGACAGCACAGGGATGACCAGAGACTGCGGACAGCACAGGGATGACCAGAGACTGCGGACAGCACAGGGATGACCAGAGACTGCGGACAGCACAGGGATGACCAGAGACTGCGGACAGCACAGGGATGACCAGAGACTGCGGACAGCACAGGGATGACCAGAGACTGCGGACAGCACAGGGATGACCAGAGACTGCGGACAGCACAGGGATGACCAGAGACTGCGGACAGCACAGGGATGACCAGAGACTGCGGACAGCACAGGGATGACCAGAGACTGTGGATAGTACAGGAGATGACTGCTGACCTTTGGGGAGGGGGGGGAGCGGGTACCTGAATTTGACAGATACCCGCTCCCCCTTCCGTGGAGTTGTTCTTTCATCTTACCCGTTCCTCTATCCAGCGGCGCGGTCTTCCCGGCTTCTGTAGTGTGGGCATGACAGCCGGGTGCCAAGTGGTACCCGCTCCCCCCCCCCCTCCCCAAAGGTCAGCAGTCATCTCTATAAGGTCCCGCTGTAGAGCTGAGCGGCCGCGGCCCGGTATTCTGACACGGCGGCGGTGGAAATACCGGCCGCGCTCCATATTCGCTCCATAAGACGCACTGACATTTTCCCCCCTTTTTTTGGGGGAAAAAAGTGAGTCTTATGGTGCGAAAAATACGGTATACCTTAAAGTGACCGTAAAGGCTCGAGTTTTTTTTTTTAAATAACAAACATGTCATACTTACCTGCTCTGTGCAATGATTTTGCACAAAGCACCTCGATCCTTCTCTTCTCAGGTTCCCACTGGCGCTCCTGGTCCACCCCTCCTGCCAAGTGCTTCCACAGCAAGCAGCTGTCTTAGTCAATGAAGAGGGAGAAACATGGGACAGCTAAGGCACTCGTGCACATCTCTGGATCGAGATGGGGCTTCGTTAAGTATTAGGGGGGCTGGGGAGGGTTGCTGCACATAGATTTTTTACCTTCATACATAGAATGCATGAAGGTAAAAAAACCTTGAGCCTTTACATCCACTTTAATGCATTTAAGGTAATTAAAAAAAAAAAAAAAAAAAGCCCGTCACCCTTATGCTAACCAGAGCTCTATCTCGAACCAGCGATGTGCATCCTATACTACATTGTATTTGGGTGGAAAAGTCTGAACACAATACTAAACAAGAAAATGCAGACATGCTGTATTTTCATGAACAAGTATAAAGGGACTTTATTTTTTAACAGATACTTTTTATTACTCATAAAAGTATAAAACAATACAAAACACAAACAGGTCTGGTTGGTACATAGTGCAAAAGAGACATAAAAATGATCCAGCACATAAACAACAACATATACAATTGAGGGCATAGACATTTCTCTAATACAACAATTCAAAAAGCAGAGTAGTACAGGACAAGGAGCAGTATAACCTCATGAAACACAGGTGCACAGCAAGGAAAAAAGAAAAAAAAAGCAAAGTTACACTTATGGTAACGCCTTTTCCAGGAGTCTTTCAGGACAGCACCTTGAGAGACCTCGGCTCCTCCCCACCTGAGGAAACACACCTCCACCCAAAATAAAGCACCTGTCACTCCCCGCCGACCTCAGTTCACGGTTAAGCACCTCCGGTCACCTGGGGAGACATAACATAAGACACCAAAAACACAATAAAACGTATCTCTTGAGAATCATACAACAGAGGGTGGGTAACCGGTTCTGTCCTGAAAGACTCCTGGAAAAGGCGTTACCATAAGTGTAACTTTGCTTTTTCTCCCTTCGTCTTTCAGGACAGTACCTTGAGAGGATAAGCGAGCACTCACCCCTATGGCGGGACCACTGCTTGCAGAACCCAACATCTGAAGGCTTGCTCCTGCACCTAGACCAGGTCGAGTCTGTAATGTCTAACAAAGGTACCGTAACTGGACCAAGTCGCAGCTCTACAGATCTGCCCCGGGTAAGCCTCTGCCCGTTAAGCTTGTGTGGCCACCATGGCACGGGTAGAATGTGCCATGATGCCCTCTGGGACCTCCAGGCCCTCGGCCAGATACGCCTGCCCGATTGCCAATCTTAACCACCTGGCTAACGCGCGTCTGGAAGCTTTCTGTCCCTTCCTTACCCCCGAAAAAGAAACAAAAATTGAATCTGACTTACAAAACTGTTTCGTCCTTTCTAAATAAAGGAGAACACACCTCCTCACATCCAGCATGTGGAACCTTACCTCCTGGTCACACAGAGGATTAGAGCAAAACGAAGGCAAAATAATGTCTTGATCTATGTGAAAACTTGAGGCCACTTTGGGTACAAAGGCCGGGCCCATCCTGAATGTAATCCTATCCGTAACAACCTGAAAAAATGGTGCTCTGATTGACAGAGCTTCTAGTTCACTCACTCTTCTTGCAGTAGTGATCGCCACCAGGAAAACCATTTTGAAAGTCAGGGCCCTCACGGAGCTCGAATCTAAAGGTTCAAACGGGGATCCCGTCAGTACATTAAGCACCGTTTACAGATCCCATTTTGGAAATGGTCTACTCCCTGCCGGTCTCTGTCTGGACAAGGCCCTAAAAAAATCTAACCACAAGTGCCTCCATAGCCAACGGGGACTCCAAAAACCCACTTAGAGCCGATATTTGGCTCTTAAGAGTACTGACAGCTAAACCCTTGTCGGCAACTGCCTGCAAACACTCTAGGACCGACACCAAGCTATAAATGTCCATCAAGGCCCGGTCACACCAGCTATTGAAGCACTTCCAGAACTTTAGATAGATTGCCTGGGTCTCTTTCTTCCTACTATCCAGCAGCGTGGCAACTACCCTACCTGAGAGTCCCTTGGCTAGCAAGAGCTGTTCTTCAGAAACCAAGCCTCCAAGTTCTATTTGTCTACCCTGGGACACAGGACCGGGCCCTGTGATAGCAAGTCCTTCCGAGGTGGCAATACCCAAGGCGGACGTGTTGCTAAAGCCACCAGCGTCGAAAACCACGCTCGTCGGGGCCAATATGGAGCTGTTAAAATCAGGGAAGTCCGCTCGGTTCTGAATTTCCTTAATACTGCCGGCAGCAAGGCGACTGGGCGGAAGGCACAACACAGGGGGAAAGTCCCACTGCTGCACCAGAGCATCCACTGCCCATGCCCCGTCCCACCGATATAGCGAGAAAAACACTGAGTTTGGTGTTCAGGCCAGGTCTATGGCTGGAGATCCCCACTCCCTTACGATGGCTTGGTAGACCTCCCTATTGAGAACCCATTCTGATTCTCTCAGCTGTCTTCTGCTGAGAAATTCGGCTACCTGATTTAAATCCCCCTTCAGGTGGATGGCAGATAAGGAGGCTAGATCTGTCTCTGCCCACGACAGCAACACCGCTGTCAGGACCCATAGGGACCTGCTTCAAGTCCCTCCCTGCCTGTTCACGTAGGCTACCACGGTCGAATTGTCCGAGAGGATGCGAACGTGTCGGCCCTGAATCAAACTCCGGAAGGAAAGAAGGGCCCACCAGACTGCCCTGAGTTCCTTCCAGTTTGAAGACTACCTCCTCTCTTCCCGGGACCAAGAGCCCTGTGTCACGAACTCCCCCAGGTGTACTCCCCACCCCTGGGCACTCGCGTCCATCGTGATTTCCCTGGCCACTGGGAAGTTCCAAAGTAACCCCTGAGTCAAATTGGCTGCTTTCCTCCACCACCAGAGGGACCTCTTCACCCTGGAGGGTATCCGCACCCAGGAGTCTAAAGATGTCTGCTGACGATCCCAGATGCTCAAAATGAACAACTGGAGGGGTCGTAGGTGTAACCCTGCCCATTGTACCGCCGGAATGGACAAGGTTAGAAGACACAGAATTGACATGGTCATCCTCAAAGATACCCCCTGGCTCTCTAGTAACCACCAGATTCCCCTGTCTAGCTTCAGGAGTTTCTCTGGAGTCAGAAAAGTTTTCTGATGGGTGGAATCTAGTATGTAGCCCAGATATACCATCATCTGGGCCGGAACTAAACTGGACTTGGCCAGGTTTATCAGCCAGCCCAGACCCTCCAAATGCTTTTTCACCACCATGTCCTGCAACAACTGTTCTTCACTTCTTCACGAACAACAGGAGGTCGTCTAAGTAGACCACTATTAAAACCCCCTTCAAATGAAGTGGCACCAGAGCCTCGGACATAACCTTTGTGAAGATTCTCGGAGAGGAGGAAAGTCCAAAAGGCAAGGCCCAAAACTGCAGGTGACGCGTCCTTCCTGGATCCTGTACTACTAGCCTGAGAAATTTTTGGCAGGTTTCCACAATGGGAACATGCAGATAAGCATCCTTTAGATCTATCGAGGCTAGAAACGAGTAAGGAGGAAGAAGGGACCTGACCGTGAAAATTGAATCCATCCGTAACCTCTTGTACCTGATAGCTTTGTTCAGGGGCTTCAGGTTTAGAATTAGCCTGTAAGCTCCCAAGGGCTTTCGGATGACAAAGACATGTGAGTAAAAACCCCTGCCTACAACTGCAGCAGGGACTTTCACCATAACATTCTGGTCCTCTAACTCCTGTAGAGAAGCGAGCAAAGCTGACGCCTTTTGTGCACACCTTGGCAGGCTCGTTACCAACAACCTGCGTGGTGGTGGTTTTGAAAACTCCAGGCGGTACCCCCCTTCTCACAATATTTAGTACAAAGGGGCTTGAGATCTCTGCTTCCCACTGGGGGAATAAAGTCATTGCGGCTTCTGGGGCTGCTCAGGAGGATGGAAAATCGCTCCTCCTCTGCCCCTGCCTCTCTGCCCCCAGGGCTTTTTCTGTACCTCTGGCCTAAGGACTTGCATCTTCTTTTGGGGATGAAACTTCTTCCCCCTCTGCCCCTGCAGCTTCCGCTTAGGGAGGAATGCTTTTTTCTATCCGCCGAGCGATCCAGCACCATCTCTAGCCCTGGGCCAAAAAGGAGATCCACTGTGAACGGGATGCCACATAGTTTGACCTTGGAGGCAATGTCTCCCTGCCATGTCTTGAGCCAGAGGACTCTACAGGCCAAATTCATAAGGGCCGCTGATCTAGCTGACATTCTAATAGACTCTGCAGAAGCGTCCGCTATATAGCCCACCCCCCGCAGTAAGGTCTGAAAAGAAGCCACAATGTGCGCCTGCAGCTGCGTAAGCCACTATTCCATATTTCTGGCCACTACCGTAGTGGCCATGGCAGGCTTTAAGTTGGACAAAGTAAAGTCCCAGGACTT